TGGCATTAAACTGAGATCTAAACAACAGGGAAGAACAGTTAGGACGCAGATAGGGATAGTCTGTGTGTACAGAATGGAAGAATGGAGAAGCCTGTGTAGGATCCAAGGAAGCAAGTAGGGCTAGTTCACCTAACTTGTGGATTACTCTGCATTTTAAGTACCACCATTTAGACTTAATTATTTAAACGCTAACTCTGGGGTGGGGGAGGGGTAGAGGCTAGAGAGTTGGCTCCATGGTTGGCTCACTTGTTGCTCTTGCAGATGACCCAGGGTTCAGTTCCCAGCTCTCACATGGTAGCTCACAACCATATGCAATCCAGTTCAGCAGATCTGACCCTCTTCTGATCTCCTCAGGTACTAGGCATACACATGGTACACATACACATTCAAGCAAAACACTGATCTACATAAAATAAATCAATCTAAGAAACAAAGTAAAGTTGACTTGTGGTCCATGACATCACTGCGCAGATAAAAGCACTCGGTGCACAAGCCTGACTATCTGAGCTTAATCCCCAGAACCACAGTAGAGGAGAGCACTATCCCCTGACAAGTTTAAATTCTGTAAGGAGGATTCTAAATAGTAGGGTAGTGAGACACAACAGTAGTTTTCCTCTTTCTTTTCTGTTATCACTAGCATCCATTATAATGGCTGGCATACAGTATGTGCCAAGCATTTCCCAGCATGACTGACTATAAAGACATCACACTACTGCTTCATACATAAATGTAGGGGAATCTCAGAAATTATTCTGACTGAATTAGAGAAATACATGATGTGACAGAAATTATAGTCTTTTGTCTATAATAATATATTACTGTTCTAAGCATAGTAAGCTTGAAACCCTAAAGAACAACATTGGAATCAAAGTTTGCCACCCCTTGGCAGTACTTCCTGCTTTCTTATGGGACTGTATATGACAGTCAGTTTCCCAACTGGTATTGCAAAACAGGGTGTGGGAAAGGTGGTGTTGGCTGCCAGGAGAGCATCTACAACTCTGTGTACCTTCAGCCATTTCAAAAATGCGCTGATGTTTTGGTAAACTGGCTAAAGGATGCTTTCCTCCTAGGTAGGATGTTTTCCCGAGTTTCAATACCTGCTTAGACTGGTTGTGCATAACAAAACTATAATAAGAGAACAAAAGGAAAGTAGGTCCTTTGTGTTAGCAAAGTGCAAGAGTCGACAAGGTTTATAAAGTTTGAAATAAAGAAAATGATAGTGCGAGGAGTTTCCAACATAAGAGCAAAGTCAAATTAGCCAAGTACAGATGACTCTAAAAGACAAATAATACCAAGTGAGGGAGGGAGGGCCCTGTTCGGATCAGTCAGAGAAGATCAAAAGGAAGCAGGGCTTAAGTAAGGTAACAATGGTTTGGCAGATGGGAGGTAGATGAGGATCTTTCAAGAAGAATGAGGTGACTTTTGCCAGGATCCAAGGGATATGGAAAATGAGGAACCGTGTAGAGGAAGGAAATGTATTTGACTGGAGAAGAGGTAGAAAAAAAAAGTACTGGACTTTTATAGCTAACAGACTTTTTTAAAAAGAGTCTTTCTAAAATCCTCTAGTTCTATTATGGAAAAAAAGAAACTCAAAAAGGTCAAATAAGTTTTACAGAGAGCTAATGAGCAAAATGTTGGCAAAGAATTCAGGTCTCCTGGTTCCTTTTCATTAAGCAACAAGGAAAACATGGTACCAGGTGCCTTTAAAGAATTCAAAGAAATACAATGTTTTATTCAATAACCTTAGAAGGCTGCTGAAGTGATATGCACCCAAAAGGAAAAGGAAACTATAAAAGTACTAGAGGGCCTTCCACATGGCTCAGTGGGTAGGGGCACTTGCTGCTAAGCCTGAAAACATGACAGAGAACCAATTTATGCAAATTGTCCTATTCAGCCACACACACACTTAATAAATAAATGTAACAAAGTATGTACTACAGAAATACATTATGTATATACCACCTGAATTTCTACAATAAAAAAAAAGACAAAAGGTAAAATTAAAGCCAAACATAGACCCACATTAGGCACCACGAAGTTTCAGTGACACTGACTCAGGGCCGTCCCTTCAGCTCGGAGTGTGGGGTCAGCCTGGTCAACAGAGCATTAGTCAACAAACAAAAAGAAGAAAATTAAGAGTTAGTTCAGCCGAGCTAGTGGCGCAAAATCCCAGCACTCGGGAGGCAGAGCCAGGCGGATCTCTGTGAGTTCGAGGCCAGATCATTCTACAAAGTGAGATCCAGGACAGGAACCAAAACTACACAGAGAAACCCTGTCTCGAAAAACCAAAAAAGAGTTAGTTCAGGGAAATGATCTTAATAACTTGTGTGCAAAACAGCAAGATTTGTAAGGGAAGAAACTGGAAGGGATCTAGTGCGGGAAGAGGCCTAACAAAAACATAGATTGTTGTCACTCTGGCAAGAAAGGGGCAGTTGACAGATCAGGCTGCAGGCCGCTCAGGCTTACAAAATTATTCAAATTACAACAGGACCAATTAAAATACATAACTAACAAGCTGCACAAGTTCCAAGTAAAAGAAGTTCACAGGCAGGTTTGGCTCCCTGATTTCTACTAACAAACCACTGGTGGACCTGTGCTTATAAAAACAAAAACAAAGAAGGAAAGAATTCTGTTTTCCAGAGAAATGTGAACTTTGACATATTTTTTTTCCCCAGGAGGAAGATCTGGTTTGATTTTAAATCTCATTACTAATCAGCTTGCTCTAAAATCTGTAAAACACAATGTCCATGAGGCTATCACAAACTACTAGCCAACCAGAGCCAACACAAGATCGCAGTCACCATTTTTGTCAGAGGCTTTACCAGTTTGGAAGCCTCCAGCTTCAATCTCAAATACTTTACCAAAATACCCTTCAAGCCAAGAAGAGTATTTTAAAGCCTTTAGCATATGGTAACACCAACTCCTAAGGAAACTGCGTGCAAATATCCAAAATAACCAGCTGAATAACAATGATTAGATAAAATGAGTTGTTAGGTTTTTAGTTGTTTTACAGAAAGCTTTAGGCTTTCTGTAAAAAAAAAAAGAAGAAGAAGAAGAAAAGCTGGCAGTGGTTTGCATTCTCTATAATCTTAACCAAAAAAACCAAAAAAAAAAAAAAAAAAAAAACCAAAAAAACTTACAGACCATGAATTAAAAATAGCTTTACACAAACGGGCAAAATTGTAGGTTTTGCTGAGGGCATAAGCCACTTAATTTAAACCCACATCTTCTAGAGCAGGAAGCCTTGCTGCTGTTCTCTTCAGAGTTACTAAGAAACAAGATCAAGGGCGGTCTGGGGCAGCGGAGTCTCCACTTGAAACTAGTGTGTGGCTGCACTACACTTCTGAGACTTATCAACGTGTCACTAAACAGACAAGAACGAGCATCTTATCATGAGTATCCACAACTGAGTCAGCGGCTCCGTCAAGATTGACTTACTGGAGCCGGGGTTGTCCACCCCACCCCCCACCCCGCTTCCAGTCCCAGTACCCATCCCCAAACAGGAAAGAAAGCGCGCCCAGCATAAACACACAGGCCATTGCTCATGGTTCGTCACCACAACAAACTGGAGGTTAGACCAACGCTCCTGGAGACCAAGTTTCAGGTCCCGGTTGCCAAGCACAAAGGGGACTCTTCCCCACAGAGCTGTGATAGTGTGGGCCCTACCGAGGAATTTCTGGTTGTTTCCACCTTCTCCTTTAACGTTTTTGGGGGCTTTGTTGTTGTTGTTTGGGGATTTGAAAGTAACGACGAGCTACAAAAGTTTCTTCTGAAAAAGACCTCTAGCTTTGTCTTGAAAAGATAAACATATAGGTGGGCTGGTCCCCACAAAGCCTCCGCACCGTCACGATTTACAAACTCAACGATTACAGAACATGAGCGAAGAACACAGAAAAGCTTTCCACACCGACCCGACCATCACGATTTTCTCTATAGACTCGGCTTCCCGGTCCCCCAAGGCACAAATATGCCCGAACTACAGCGACAGGCAGTGGGGTGACATGCACCCTCCGCACAAGCTCCCCGTAGGGAACCTGCCACGCCGCAGCCAGGGGTCGGGGCGGGGAACCGGAGGGTGGGGAGATGCCCGACGGGCCCCTGTCACCTGAGGACAACGGCCCCCGCTCGGGAGGGAAGCGGCAGGAAGGCAGGCGGAGTTGCCCATTTTCCCGGGCACACAGTCGCGTCCCGCCGCGCGCGGCCG